CCACCCGGGGAGGGCTAATGTGGTGGCCGATGCATTGAGTAGGAAGTCCGCCGGCATGGGTAGTCTTGCTTATATTCCGGCCAGCCAGAGGCCGCTTGCTTTGGATATTCAGGCCTTGGCCAATCGATTTGTGAGGTTGGATATTTCTGAGCCCAGTAGAGTGTTAGCTTGCACGGTTGCTCGTTCTTCATTATTGGAGCTTATCCGTGGTCGGCAGCTTGATGATCCCCATTTGTGTGTCCTGAGAGACACGGTGCAGCGTGGAGGTGCCAAGAAGGTGATCTTAGATGATGATGGTGACTTGAGACTGCAGGGGCGAGTTTGTATGCCCAATGTTGATGGGATTCGAGAGTTGATCTTAGCGGAGGCCCACAGTTCCCGGTATTCTATTCACCCGGGCGCCGGGAAGATGTATCAGGACTTGCGGTAGCATTATTGGTGGCGTAGGATGAAGAAGGATATTGTTGCATATGTGGCTCGTTGTTTGAACTGTCAGCAGGTTAAGTACGAACATCAGAGGCCTGGTGGACTGTTTCAGAGGATTGAGCTTCCTGAGTGGAAGTGGGAGAGGGCTACTATGGATTTTGTTACTGGACTCCCGTTGACCCAGAAGAAGATTGATGCGATTTGGGTCATTGTTGATAGGCTGACCAAGTCAGTGCATTTTGTTCCTGTTGCAACCACTTATTCATCTGAGAGGTTAGCCGAGATCTATATCAGAGAGATTGTTCGCCTTCATGGGGTGCCGGTATCTATCATTTCGGACTGGGGTACGCAGTTTACCTCGCGCTTCTGGAGAGCAGTTCAGCGAGAGTTGGGCACCCAGGTTGAGTTGAGCACAGCATTCCATCCTCAGACGGACGGACAGTCCGAGCGGACTATTCAGATATTGAAGGACATGCTCCGAGCTTGTGTTATTGACTTCGGAGGTTCGTGGGATCAGTTCTTGACTTTAGCGGAGTTTGCCCACAATAACAGCTACCAGTTCAGCATTCAGATGGCCCCTTATGAGGTGTTGTATGGTAGGCGGTGTCGATCTCCGGTTGGGTGGTTTGAGCCGGGAGAGGCTCGATTATTGGGTACAGATTTAGTTCAGGAGGCCTTGGATAAGGTCAAGATCATTCAAGATAGGCTTCGTTCGGCTCAGTCGCGGCAAAAGAGTTATGCAGATCGTAAGGTTCGAGATGTAGCTTTCATGGTTAGTGAGCGAGTATTGCTCCGAGTGTCGCCTATGAAGGGCGTGATGAGATTTGGGAAAAAGGGCAAGCTTAGCCCTAGGTTCATTGGCCCATTTGAGATTCTCGACCGTGTGGGAGAGGTGGCTTATAGGCTTGCCTTGCCGCCTAGCTTGTCCGCCATGCATCCAGTTTTTCATGTGTCCATGCTTCGGAGGTATCACGGCGATCCAACCCACGTGTTAGATTTCAGCACTGTCCAGTTGGACAAGGATCTGTCTTATGAGGAGGAGCCGGTGGCTATTCTAGACCGGCAGGTTCGACAGTTGAGATCAAAGAGTTTTCCTTCAGTACGAGTCCAGTGGAGAGGTCAGCCCCCTGAGGCATCGACCTGGGAGTCCGAGTCCGATATGCGTAACTGTTATCCTCACCTATTTCCCGACTCAGGCACTTCTTTCTTTCGTCCGTTCGAGGACGAACGGTTGTTTTAGAGGTAGAGAATGTGACGACCCAAAGGGTCATCACCTGTTTTCTCACTCATTCTGTGTCTCAGAGGCCTTAAAAACCTCATTTAGGCTTGCCTCGATTTGCGTGCGCAGTCCGGGCGCGTAGCCGGGAAGCTTAAATATAAATTCTGTGTAAAAATTGATGAATTTTGATATTAATATGAATAAAGTTGACTTTGGTCAATATTTGGGTAAACGAACCCGGACTCATGATTGGACGGTCCCGAGGGTCCGTAGAAAAATATGAGACTCGGGCATATGCCCGGAGTCGAATTCCGAGGTCGAGAGCCCGAGAAATGAATTTTTCTGTGAAATTGTTTTTCAGAAATTAATATGGAAATTTGAAAAGGAAATTGATTAGAACGTGTTGGTATCGGGCCCGTATTTTGGTTCCGGCGGCCGGTACAAGTCTTATATGTGGTTTAAGTGTTTTCTGTGAAATTTGGTTGAAATCGGACGTCATTTGACGTGTTTCGGACCTAAATATCTAAAAATGAAAGTTTATGAAGTTTGATGAAAAAGTGATGATTTTGAGGTTTAATTCATTGATTTTGATGTTATTTTGGCGATTTGATCGCACAGTTAAGTTCGTAGGATGTTGTTGAGTTAGTGTGTGTGATTGGTTAGGAGCCCCGAGGGCTCGGGAGTATTTTCGGAGGTGTTTAGGGTGGTTTTGGACTTAGGATGATAGCAGATTTTCTGCAATTTTTGCACAGGCATTCCCTTCTTCGCGTTCGCGGCCTTCAGCTCGCGTTCGCGATGCTTCCCAGGTCCCCTTCTTCGCGTTCGCCTCACAACTCTCGCGATCGCGTAAGCCAATTTCAGGACCCCCAGAAATTTCTTCTTCGCGTTCGCATTCCACAGTCCGCGAACGCGTAACTTCACCAGTTTACTCATCGCGTTCGCGTGGCTCTTCACGCGTTCGCGTATAACCATTCCTGGACCCCCCAGTCTTTCTCTTCGCGTTCGCATCATCCTCATCGCGAACGCGATGGTCTGTTGTGTCAACCCTTCGCGAACGCGGCCTTGCTCCCGCGAACGCGAAGGGCATTTTTTCCCAGTTATTTTAAAAGCCTAAAAACAGAACAGTGACGGGATTATTCCAAATTTCACACGAGCTCTTCTTCTCCACAGCCCCAAGGCGACTTGTAGAGCGATTCTTCACCAAATATTCTTTGGTAAGTATTATCTAACTCGTTTTCTTCATTTTCTATCATCATCCATTGAAATCCTAGGCCTAAAACATGTAGTCTAGGGTTGAAATTGGGGGAAATGGGTAGAGTTAGGGCTTTTCGATTTTCTTCGATTTAGACCTCCTGTTGGGGTCGAATTTGAAAATAAATTGTATATTCGGGCTCGTGGGGGAATGGGTGATATGGAATTGGTACGAACCTCGGGTTTTGACCAAGCGGGCCCGGGGTCGATTTTTGGAATTTTGGGGAGAAGGCTTAGAAAACTATATTTAGGCATTGGGTTTGATTTGTTTAGCTTATATTAATGTTGTAAAGTCGTTGTTTCATAGATTTGATTGAGTTGGAGCCGAATTCGAGAGGGAAAGCGGTCGTTGTGGATTGATTAAGCCGTGGAAGTTGAGGTTAGTGTTTGGTCTAACTTTGGCTTGAGGGAATAGGAGTAGAGTCTTACTTGCTAATTGCTATTTGTCGAGTACGGTGTATAAGCATGGTGACGAGTATCTATACACTGGTGTCTAGCATGACCGTCTGTCCTTATATTGAGATTATCCTGAACTTGTTGTGATTCTCCCATGCTTATTTGATGATTTCTATATACTGTAAAAAGCATGAGACAGAGATTATGATTATTAGACTCCGTGAAGCATTGGCTTGAGTTGTGTTGCGAATTGTGAAGGTATATGATATGAAATAATTCTTTGGAGCTATGGCTCAAATGATAAAGTGAGTTATAGATTAAGAAATGAAAGAAAAAGAAAGAGATATTGGTTATTCCCTTGCCAAGACGTTTTATTGATATGATGATGATATTGAGTTATTGACTTTTCTCCCTTGCCGGGATTTAGTGTGTTATTGTGTTCCCTTGCCGGGATTTCTTTCACTAATTGTTTACTCCCTTGCCCCTTATTTTCGACTGTTGCCTGGGTGAGGATTAATAATATAAATATATGGATCGGGTTGCGCGCCGCAACAATGATAAATGATATATATGTGGATCGGGTTGCACGCCGCAACAATACTAAATGATATGGATCGGGTTGCACGCCACAACAGTGATGATTATGGGTCGGTTGCACGCCGCAACAGTGATGATTGAGGATCGGGTTGCGCGCCGCAATAAGTGATAGCTTAAGTGTGTTTATTCCGGATTTAAGTTTCTGTTGGCTGTTATAACCTTAGAATTTAGACTCCCTGTTTATAACTGTTGCCTCCCCACAACATGCTCCCCCTCCCTTATAAACTGCTTATTTCCTGTTTATTTTTCTGCAATATATTTCGTAACTGCACAGGTTTATCTGTAGTCTGGTCTAGCCTCGTCACTACTTCGCCGAGGTTAGGCTAGGCACTTACCAGCACATGGGGTCGGTTGTGCTGATGCTACACTCTGTGCATCTTTTTGCACAGATCACAGCGCCGGTAGCAGCTTTTGGACAGCAGTAGAGGATTCCGGAGCTGACTTCAGTCCAGGGACATTCGAGGTAGCCTTACTGACGTCCGCAGGCCCGGAGTCCCTTTCTATTTTATTCAGTTTGTTTTCATTTGTACCGAAGCAGACAACTTTATGTTTCATTCGAACCTTGTATTTAGTATTCTCTAGACGTTCGTGAGTATTGTGACACCAGTCTTGGGTAGAGGATTTTGTTAAACTTCCGCATTTCTTTCAGTTATATATATTTGAGACTTCCGCTTTATTATTAAATGCTTCATTGTTTCTAATATCGACGATGTTCGCTAAAAGACGTAATTGATAATTGGCTTGCCTAGCTCCTACAAGTAGGCGCCATCACAACCCCCGAGTGTGGAAAATCCGGGTCGTGACACAATTCATCTTCATCGATAACCGTTTCATCCGAGTCAATTCGAATCATGGCCGGAGAAGACGAAGCCCCAGTGACCCCAGTGACGAACAAAACCCTAGATTGAACAAGTCCACTATACATGCATCCATCGGAAAGTGCTGGATCTATGCTAGTTTGATAGCCTTTGACGGAGCTGGTTACAGGTCGTGGAGAAGAGGAATCCTCAGAGCACTCTCCATGAAAAACAAATTAGGGTTTATTACCGAAAAATGTAAGAATCCAGACTCTGATTCGGCAGACCTTGATCAATAGGAGCGATGCGATGATATGGTAACTTCATGGATCTTAAACTCACTGTCTAAGGATTTAGCGGACAGCTTGCAATACGTCAATGATGCTAAGGAGCTTTGGCAAGAACTAGAATACAGATACGATCAAACCAATGGCACCAAGTATCAACTGCAAAAAGAGATCAATGATCTGAGCCAAGGAAGCCTGTACATCACTAGATATTATACGAAAATGAAGAAACTTTGGGAAGAACTTAATACCCTGAATGTTCATGCCAAATGCGCCTGCAAATGCACCTGTGGAGAAAGAGAAAATATACATAAAGATGAACAGGATAGAAGATTAATTCAGTTCCTGATGGGGCTCAATGAAGTGTATACTGTCGTGAGAGGGAGTATTTTGATGATGAACCCTCTCCCAACAATAGCGCAAGCCTTCTCTATTCTCATTCAAGAGGAGAAACAAAGGGAAGCTAAGCCAAGTAATAGTTTTTCAATGGACTCTGCTGCCTTGAATGTGAGTGGATCAGGAAATGGCAACTTCAGAACTAACTACAACAACAGGGAAATAACAACACCTATAGTGGATATAAGGGAAACCAACTTAACAGCAGACCTAGACCATTCTGTGACTACTGCAAGAGGCCAGGGCACACTAAGGACAAATGCTACAAACTCCATGGATTCCCATAGAGTTCCAGGTTCAATAAGGGAAGAAGAATTGCTGGAAATGTATTTGGACCACCAAATGAAGCTGATACAGTAAAGGAAAATGGCAATGGCCCTCAAGAACAGGAATGCATAGCCTGACTAAAGAGCAATATGGACAACTGCTCACTATTCTGGAAAGTTTTCAAGGAGGAGCAGATAAATCCACAAGCAATTGCATCAATGGAGGAGCTGTGAACTTTGCAGGTATTTCAGCATGCTCTACTCATTTTGACTCTAGTAATCATTTGTGTGATAGTTCTAGTTCAAATGCTGACACTTGGATCCTTGACTCTGGATCCACAAATCACATGACACATAACAAATCAATCCTAACTATTGTTAAAACCTTAGTTTACCCATACCTAGTCACCCTACCAAATGGCTACAAGGTTAAGGTGACAGTTGGTGATGTAAACTTAAGTCCAAAATTCAGTCTCAAGAAGGTCCTTTTTGTTCCTAGTTTTAAGTTCAATCTGATATCAGTCCATTCTTTGACAGTCCAATTTGATTGTATTGTAGTATTCACCAACTACATTTGTATTCTTCTACAGGGCCCTTCACTGAAGAGGCCACTGGAGATTGGTAAAGCCAAGACTGGTCTGTATCTACACAGTTCAAGCAACTACAACACTGGTTCAACCCTCTCTAATTCTTCTAGTGCATCCTTTCCATGTTTTACTAATAATGAGAATAATATAGATTCTGTAGTTAAGACATCTAGCTCACTTCCTTCTACTCAATTAGTTGGTACTAGTAAGCTAGTTTCTACTGTTCCTGTTACTTCCACCATGGTTACCCCATCTTATAGTAGTAATACAAATAGTTCACTTCCACATTCAAATTACTCTGTAACTAGTTCAAGAAATAAAAGTGAGTCCTCTTTGTCTAATAATTCCTCTACTACAGAACTTTTACTTGATCTTTTGTGGCATAACAGATTAGGACATGTACCTTTTGTCAAAATGAAAGGGATTTCCTCTATACCTGTTGCCTTTGCACCCAAACAGCCTTTTCTTTGTCCCATCTGTCCGATGGCAAGACAAACCAGGTTGTCTTTCCCAGAAAGAACAGCATTAACTAAGAAACCCTTTGAAGTGCTGCATATTGACTTGTGGGGCCCATACCATGTTGCAACACATAATAAATACAAATACTTTATTACTCTTGTGGATGATTACAGCAGGTCCACATGGACCCACTTGTTAAGCTGTAAAAGCAATGCTCTACACACCATTAAGGCCTTCTTTATCATGGTAGAGCAACAATTCAATACCAATATCAAAACTATAAGAACAGACACTGGTCTTGAGTTCACCAGCCAAGAGACCACTTCATTCTTACAATCAAAGGGCATTGTACATCAAAGAACATGTCCATACACACCACAACAAATGGTGTGGTGGAAAGAAAATACAAATATTTGTTAGAAACAGCCAGGGCTCTACTCTATCACTCTAAATTACCCATGCAGTATTGGGGAGAATGTATTCTGACCTCTACATACCTAATAAACAGACTGCCCTCTTCATCACTCAAATCAAAATGTCCCTTTGAACTTCTGTACCAAAAACAACCAAGCTATTCTCATCTCAGAAGCTTTGGTTGTTTATGTTTCCCTACCACTCTCAAAACACACAAAGATAAGTTTGAGCCAAGAACTACTCCCCATGTTTTTTGTGGGATATCCCTTTGGGACAAAAGGCTACAAGGTACTAAATCTGGCCACTAAGAAGATAAGTGTTTCAAGAGAAGTAGTGTTCCATGAGAATGTATTCCCTTTTGCTATGTTCACTGAGTCAAACAAAGTCTTTCCTTCATTTCCTCAAATGAAATCATACTTGTCAGATGATTTGTTTTCTCCCGGTGATATAGGTAGTGTTCCACATTCAGCAAGTGATAATGCTCACCATGAAGTGTCACCTGGGAACCTGCCCAGGCATGAGCCTTGCTCACCCCCATCTAATCCTTATAATGATAACTTCAGATCTTCTCACTCATTAACTTCCAATAATACGTATATATACTTTTTTACTATCTAGGTTCATTTTTTCGATGCTTCTTGAAATTATCAAGAGGTTCGAGCACCCATTCCTTCTGGTTTTCTTGAATCTTTACCCGTATCTGTTAAAGCTCGTGCCTCTTCAACTTATTCTTCGCCAACTGTCATTCTTCTATTGACTCACGTGTCATGACATATCATCACATAACTAACTTAATTTTACCCGATACAGATAGTCCCCCCACTTGCCATTTATTCAACAATAGAATATTTGGGAAGTGGATCTCATTTAAAGCGGGAATTTTTGCCGCCATTATACCTTTTCCAGAACTGACGCTTCATATGTCACTTCCATTTAATGCTCGTGACACGTGGCCTCTTCTGATTGGATCTGCAACTCTTCAGCGTCTTTTAGGGCTTTTTTGCGGCTTCATCAATTACGAAGTGATAGTTTCCATCATTACACCTTTTCTTTCACGGTTGCTTCTGAGTATAAATATAACTTTTGTCTTTGTCTTTCTCATAAAAAGTTACCTATCTTAGAATATTTATTCTTGTTTTCTTCCTCGTACAGCCATGTCTTCTTCAAACCCTAATCCCCGAAGAGTCCCCATTGTTGACGAACTTTCCCTTGCTCATGTTAGAAGCAAAAGAGGGGGTAGATTATGTAGTTTAGGGTTTTCATCAATACGAGGTGTTTCTTTACCTCCATCGAGTTCCACCCCTCCTTCTAGAACTAGGGATTCTCTTTCAAATAGATCTTCTTCTAGAAATAGAGACTCCAATGAACCACTTCGTGAACCTTTAGTAGATGAAATTGTTCCTTCTGAACTATCTTTTTACTCTAATAGAGAATCGATTAGGAATCAAGTTTCTTCTATGTCTTCTTTGGATTGTGCTGATGTTTACCCTTCTCAGATTACCGAAGGTTTAATCTCTGTTGTCTGTAGGGATTGCGATTGGAGACCTGACTTCCCTATCATAATTCCCATATGCAAACCAAAGAATTACATCTTACATGACTGAATTTTCTTTTGTGTATACATATCCCTTTACACTGAATTTCAAACCCCCCATTGATCCTATTATCATTGAGTTCTGTCATTTTTTCAACCTTTGCCTAGGACAAATTAGCCCCATTGTATAGAGGGTTGTTGCTTGTCTAAGGCACTTAGCAAGGTTGGCTAATTTGCCTTTTACTTTCTTTCATTTGATCCACCTCTACTCCCCTAAGTTTTTTCGACATGGGATCTTCACTTTAGTGGCGAGGAGTAAGAGAGTGTTAGTTAGCCCTGACGATGACAAGGACCGTTGCTGGTATGCCAGATTTGTTGTTGCCCCTACTGTTATTTTAGTAGGTGAAGAAAATATTCCATTTCCTGAAAAGTGAAATTTTGCACGTAAGTTTTACTTTTACAACTTTTCTGTCTTTTTTTTCCTTTTTTATTTTGAAGGGATTTATTTTTCCCGCTGCTATTTAACTTTCTCTTTTTTCAGCAACCATGAGAACTGTTGATGAGATTCCCAATTTCCATGGTTGGGTAGAAAAATTATCGACTGTTGCGCCGATGGAAGGCAGATCTTGGAAAAACCTTTCACACAGGTTTGGTTGGAAGGTTAAAATCATGGTAAATTTTTTACCCCTTTTTTTATATTTTTGTTCATCTTTCCTTTGGAGTTTATTTGACCCTTCTTTTTATCAGGGTTTCGCACACGTGGTGTAAGTGCTGATGCAATCGCGGCTTCCAGAGTTTCTTTGGAAAGAGATCAAGAGATAATCTTGAGTTCTTCATCGAAAAGGAAGGCTGATGCGACCCTGGACTCTAAGGAGGATGAGGAATAGGATAGAAGTTCCTTGGTTAAAAGGCCGCGGGTCAGAAGACGCGTCTTTTCAGATGATGAAGCTACTCCTCCCCGTTCTGTTCCCATGACTGAGCTTGTTAAAGCTACCTTGGTGAGTTCTAACGATGATATTCCTGCGGCAGCTCGTGACTCTGATGAACAGCTTTTTTCTCGTGGGTTTTAATGACATAGTTCAATCGTCACCGAAGGTATTTGATTCTTTTTACGTTCTATTCCATTCTCCTTTTACTAAAGTTCTTACCCTTTTTTTTGTTTTTTAGATCAATCTTATTGGTACAGAGAAGATGAAGAGGGTTTCTCATACGGAGAAGTTAATGCATGATTATCAAATTGAAGCAGACAATTGGAAAGAACAGTATGAAAGTCTTCAGCTTGATATGGAAATGTTAGAAGAAAGCAAGTGTACCTTAGAGAACCAGTTGAAGGTCTTGATTTCAGAGTTAGCGGTTGAAAAGCTTCTTCCAATCAGGCTGCCAAGGATAAAAATCTCCTTGAGACATCATTTTCTGAGCAACTCTCCAAAGCCAGCGAAGAGTTTAGAGGATTGAAGGCCTTGCTGAACAAAAAAGAAGTTTATGCAGGTGAACTTGTTCAAATACTCATCCAGACCCAAGAAGATCTTCGTGTGTCTTTTGATAAGGTCAGATTTTTAGAAAGTTCACTTGCCCTTTTGCGATCTTCTTATGATGCTGCTTTAGCCGAGAAGGAAGAGCTCAAGAATGAGATTGACCAATGGGAAAGAGATTATGAGGCTCTTGAGGACAAAACTGCTACTGAATTGAGTTGAGCTATTTTAAACACACGCTATGATACCCTTGTGGAGGCTAGCCAAGGCCCAAGAGGGTTTTAATTTGGATGCTGAGTTAGCTAAGATAAAGGAAACTATTTAGAAAACTCAGAAAGGCCAAAGTTTTCATTCTCCCATGGCTGATACTCCTGAGCATGTCGAAGCTGATATAGGTACAGTGGATGTCCCAGCTCCTTCAAATCAATTCGAGCCTTCTGTTGCTGATGATGCCGCTTTAGTCTCTTCTTCTGCCCCATAGTGAAAGTTTAAGAAGTTTGAATCCTCTTTTTTTTCTTGGTGGAATTTATGGTTTTACCCCTGGTCCCATTTGGGGGTTAAGCTTTTGGAAATGACAAGTCCCCAAGTCTTTTCGGGGCATTTTGTAAAAAAATGACAATCAGTTTATGACTAAGTTTACACTTAGTCTAAACTTAATATTATAAAGTTTTTGTTCCAACTTAATTATCCTGAGCTTCTGTTTTACTCTTTTTTGCCTTTATATTCAAGGTCTAGCTTTTTAATTCGTGGGTTTTTATCTTACCCTTTTTGCATTTTTTTAAAGATGCTTTGTTAGTTTCATGGATCTTTGAATCAAACATGAATTTATAAAAGAGGGCCCTTTTATATACGACACTTAATGAAGAAGACGCATCAACTTCATAATAGTGTAAATATACGAAAAAAGAAATAGGAACACACATGCTTCTTGAAATAACTTAAATAAAGTTTTCATTTGAAATTTAACAAGTTTAAATAACATCTTACATGTATTGAAATATCTTCTATTACTTTTCTGTAACTGTTTTCTTTACAACATATTTGCAAAAAGAAAATCCAAGGGTTTCTTTATGACCCATGGCTAAATACTGCCTTTAACCTAAACATCGTAAGATTTTAAAATCTATATGAATATTTTTTGGTTGGCTTGTGTTATTGGCTCGTGAGTTTGCTCTGAACTTGATATTTGATGAGTAGACTTTTGGGCTTGACTTGGACTTCAGTTGTTTTCAGTCTTCTTTGCCTTCTTTATACATATATCATACGTATATTATATAGTCCCCCAAGTGTTTGAGCTTTGAAGTATGAAATCTCGAGCACTTGATTATTCCTTCCATGCGGTCCTTTTCCTGAAAAGAGAAAACATACGGGACTCGGAGGTACGATTATAGATGAAGACTGCTTAACCCTTTTCAATTTCCATCAGAATAGTTGTAACCCTAGACCGGGAATTATGTTCTTTCCGCGTGTCTTTCAGGTCGTAATTCATCATTTAGTGCGGGCTAGCTTTTTGCCTATCATCTAAAATCGTTAGTAAAACTTTAATAATTAAAAATAAAAATTGTTAATGGGGATACCTGCCCGTGGTATTTTTTTTCCTTAGAAATAGTATCTCTTCAGATGAACAACATTCCAATTTGAAGGTAGAATCTTGCCATCCAATGTTTCAAGCTCGTATGCTCCTTTTCCTGCGATACCATGAATCTTATAAGGTCATTCCCAAGTTGGACTTAACTTTCCTGCATTAGCTGCCCTCGTGGATTGGAAAAATTTCTTGAGTACGAAGTACCCAATCTTGAAGCATCTGAGACGAGCTTTGCGGTTGTAGTACCGCTCCATAACTTGTTTTTGTGCTGCCATCCTTATTGAAGCAGCTTCCCTCCTTTCTTCAAGTAAATCCAGGTTTACCCGCATCTCTTCTTCGTTTGATTCCTCAGTAGCTTGAGTATATCTCGTACTTGGTTCTCCTATCTCGACTGGAATTAAAGCTTCAGCTCCATATACAAGTGAGAACGGTGTTTCCCCCGTACTTGTTTTTGCCGTTGTTCGATAAACCCACAAGACCCCAGGTAACACCTCTGGCCAATTGCCTTTAGATTTCTCCAATCTTTTTTTCAAGCTGTTGATAATGACTTTATTTCTTGATTCAGCTTGTCCATTACCCACCGAATGGTAAGGAGTTGAGGTAATCCTTATAATTTGCCAACTTTGGAAAAAATTGTGATTTGTGTGCCTATAAATTGCGGGCCGTTATCACATACATTTTCCTTCGGTACTCCGAACCGGCATATGATGTTTCGCCAGATGACGTCTCTGGCCTCTTTTTCTCGTACCTGTTTAAAAGCTCCTGCTTCTACCCACTTAATAAAATAATCAGTGAGCACTAATAAAAATCTTACCTTACCTTTGGCTTGCGGTAGTGGACCCACGATATCCATTCCCCACTTCATAAAAGGTCATGGTGCAATTACCGGATGTAATAATTCAGCAGGTCGATGCATGTTGTTACCGTATCTTTGACACTTATTACATTTAGCCACAAAATTTTCCACGTCCTCTTCCATTTTTGGCCAATAATAACCGGCTCTAATCATAGCTTTTACTAAAGATCTTCCTCCCGCGTGATTTTCACAATGTCCCTCGTGTATTTCTCTCATCACATACTTTGTTTAAGAAGGCGCGAGGCATCTTGCTAAAGGATCACCGAACATTTTACGATAAAGATTGCTTTGCTTTAAAAAATATCGAGCAACTTTTTTGCGTAGTGCTTGAGCCTTTTTCTTATCTTCAGGTAAAATTCCATACTGCAAAAAATTGACAATCTCGTTTCGCCAATCCCAAGTTAAATTATTGAAATTTACCTTATTTTTGTCTTGATCAAGTACCGAATGAAATAAATGAATCACAGAAGCATTTTCGTCATTTGTTACTTCTGCAGCAGACGCAAGATTAGCCAGGGCGTCTGCCTCGGCATTTTCCTCTCTTGGTATCCGAACGACTTTCCAAGATTGAAATTGCCTGACTAAATCTCGTGCCTTTTCTAGGTATTGCTGCATCCTTGTCTCTCTGGCTGTATAAGTCCCCCAGCATTTGGTTAACTACGAGCCGTGAATCGCTTTTAATTACGACCTGTTCTATACCAAGCTCTCGTTCCAGTTCTAAATCTGCAATCACAGCTTCATAGTCTGCCTCATTACTAGTAATAGCGTGACATTTTATGCCTTGTCGTATGGTTTCTACCGTGGGTGGTACCAAAACAATACCTAGACTTGCCCCTTTTACATTAGATGAACCATCAGTGAATAAGGTCCAAGTACCTGGATTAGACCCGTTAAACACTTGCAATTCTTTTTCTGCTTCTAATTGTATCCCTTGACTAAAATCTGCCATAGAATCTGCTAAAACTTGTGACTTTATTGCAGTTCTAGGTTAATATGTAATGTCATATTCACTCAATTCAATGGCCCACTTGGCTAATCTACCTGATAACTCTTGCTTATGCAATATATTACGTAAGGGGTAGGCAGTTACTATAGAAGTGGGATGACATTGAAAATAAGGTCTTAATTTCCTAGATGCCATAATTAACGCAAGTGCAAGTTTTTCTAGATGAGGATACCAAGTCTCAGCATCTAATAATGACTTGCTGACATAATTAATCGGAGATTGTTTACCTTGGTCTTCTCGAACTAACACTGCATTTACCGCCACTTCTAAAACAGCACAGTAAATGAGTAATTTTTCCCCATCTTTTGGTTTTGCGAGTAACGGTGGATTTGGCAAATATACTTTCAAGTTTCTAAGCGCCTGTTGACATTCTTCAGTCCATTCAAATTGATCTTGCTTTTTTAGGGCTGAGAAGAACCTGAAACATTTTTTTGACGATTTGGAAATAAACCTTCCCAAAGCAGCTATTCTTCTTATCAATCTCTGTACTTCTTTTTTACTCGTCAGTGTATCCGGAATTTCCTCATTAGCTCTGATCTGCACGGGATTTACTTCAATTCCACGGTTAGAAACAAGAAATCCCAAAAACTTACCTGACGAAACTCCAAATTCACACTTCTCAGAATTTAATTTCATATTAAATTTACGAAGAATCTGAAATGTATCAGACAGGTGTTGAATATGAGTCCCTGCTTGTTGTGACTTGACCGGCATATCATCTACTCCCTCCGTTTCATATTATATGAGATAGTTTGACTCGGCACGGAGTTTAAGAAAAAAGAAGAAGACTTTGAAACTTGTGGTCTTAAAAGCTTAAGGGGTAAAAAGTTTGTGGGGCCATGACATTTGTATGGCTATAAAAGCTTCTCATTAAGGCTAAATGAGTAAAATGAAAGAGTTTAAAGTTGAATTATTTCCAAATTTAGAAATGTGTCATTTGATTTACAACTGACTAAAAAGGAAAGTACCTCATTTAATATTAAACGGAGGGAATATATAGACTTCCATGGTTTTCCCTAGATGTTCTTGAAACATTTTTGTCACCAGCCTTTGATATGTGGCTCCAGCATTCTTGAGACAAAATGACATTACCTTGTAACAGTAAGTCCCCATGTCTGTTATAAATGAAGTTTTTTCCTCATCTATAGGATCCATTTTTATCTGATTATACCCTGAATATGCATCTAAAAACTTAACAATTCATGCCCTGTAGTAGCATCGATTAGTCTATCTATATGCGGTAATGGAAAAGAATCTTTAGGACAAGCCTTATTTAAGTCAGTGTAATCCACACAAACTCGCCACTTACTGTTCTTTTTTAGGTACTACTACAGTATTAGCTAACCAATTTGGATATTTTACCTCGCGGATGGACCCAATTTTTAAAAGTTTTTGCACCTCATCTTGAATCACCTGGTTTTTGAAAGATCCTTGCTTTCTTTTCTTTTGCTTGACAAGCGAGTACGATGGATCTTCGTTTAATTTGTGGGTCATAACTTCCAGAGGTATACCTGTCATATCAGAATGGGACCAGACAAAACAATCTATGTTAGTTTTTAAAAATTCAGTCAACTTACCTTTCATTTCTTGACTTAATTTGGTCCCGATGTAGACTTTCCTCTCAGGCCAAGATGGAAATAGTACTACAGCTTCCAATTCCTCAATTGTTGTTTTGATGTTTTCATTTTTCTCTGATTCTTGGATGGTATCAGGCCTCGAGTCTACATCTATTCTCCCATGCTTAGTTGAGGCTTGTGTTGCAGCATCCTCAACTG